AATAAAACTGAGCTAGAATTAAAGTAAATTCCTACTTTCTCTAGTGGTCTCTGAAGCATAATTCTCGAGGATATTGGGGAAAGCAGACCTTCTGTGAGCCCAATGACGCATGAAACACTGGAACAGTGTGTCAACAAAGGATTTGCCATGCCCTGAGCATTGCCCTCAATTTGCCTCATTCACCCACTCACTCTGTTTCTCCCAGTGTGTGAGGGTTCCTCTAAAGCTGCATGCAACAAAGTGCAGAGCTTCCTTCCCCTGCCCATGGGTCCACACAGATGGGGCTGGCCTTGAGAGTGAGCAGCTGCCACAGGCTACAGGGGAAAAAGGAATCTGCCCATATCCATTACTGGGACTGGAGTTTTTTAAGATGACTGGAAATAAATCAATAAGTATCTTTGAATTCTTTAAATATCTTTAAATTTTTAGAAAAACAATAAATTACAGCTAAAAGGTTAAGAGCTTAAACAAAACTCCTTCAAAAGTAACCTAACCTGGAGGACTGCATCCAGTTCTGAGGCCTCTGATAAGAGGACAGAGACCTGCTGGAGCATGTCCAGAGGAGAGCCATAGGGATGATGAGAGAGCAGGAGCACCAAGACATGCTGAGAGAGCTGGGGTTGTTTAGCTTGGGGAAGAGAAGGCTCTGGGGACACCTGATAGCACGTTCTAGAACCTGAATGGTGTCAGAGAGGGACTTCTTGCCAGGGCATGTAGTGATAGGACTAGGGCTTTAAACAGAAAGAGATTTAGATGAGATGTAAGGAAGAAATTCACTACATGGATAGTGAGGCACTGGTCAGGTTGTCCAGAGAAGCTGTGGCTTCCCATCCCTAGAGGCCTGCTTGGTTTGGGCTCTGAGCATCCTGGTGTAGTGAAAGGTGTCCACGCCAGTGACAAGGGGGTGGAGCTGGATGATCTTTAAGATCCCTTCTAACCCAAGCCACTTGGGGATTCTATAATGACATTCTCTGGCCATTTAAATACAGGAGAGATGCTTTGCCCCAGATCAGTTCTCAAGGTTTGCCTCATGGGGACAGTAACATTTAGCAGTGCCACAAAGATATTGTGTCACTGCTGAACTTCCTTATGAGTTCCTGAGATGAAAGCTTGTATAATAATAAAAATTAGCTTCATCTTTATTTTATTCCATAATCCAGCTAAGGGCATATTTTTTGAAATGGGATAAAATAGTATAAGAATTTCATTTTAACTAGTTTTTCCTCAAAATAACTTTTGTCTGTTTTTTATATGTAGGCGAGGTTTCCTTCCTTGCTTCATAGCTATGTAGCCATTTCTTTTTGTGTTATTAAAACTGAGAAAAAATGCCTTTAGGTGAAAAGAAGCTTACTAGTGTGTTAGGTCTTGCTATCTGGAATAGATCCTGATTTATATGTTACTATTTGGGAATGTTATTAACTTAAATTACTGTTGTAGGATGAGAAGATACATGCAAATTACAGAAAAATAGCTGTGATTTAACAAAATAAAGCCATTTTGTTTTATCTACACCTTCTTTAAAGAAGAAATAGCAGTAATGTCATTAAATTATCCCAAACCCATAGATTAGTGTGAACTATTACCTGATGCCAACATTTTGGAGAGAATGATTAAAGAATTATTTGGTGTAATTCTACAATGAGTTCATTTTGCTTCATGCTCCTGTGGCTCATTTCAATATAGTGCCACAGTTTATTTAGGAATAACTTTACAGACTATTTTGCAGTCTTCAGTTGAATACCTTCCCTCAGATAAAACAAAACAAGTCGGTTCTTCTCCACTTTGCCTGTGTTAAACATTTTAGGGTAGGTAGATTGAGTGGATTGCAAGAAGCTTTGAATCACATTTTCCAGTGACTTTCACTTTAAAGTTTTTATTTGATTATCTTGTTGTGGGGTGGAGTCGAATGTGTTTCCAATTTTGCAGAGAGTTGTTACAATCTCAAATGTCTTTTGTATGCTTCTTGGCATCGGTTAGTGTAAGTGATTGTGGTTTTGAAGCCGGCTCGTAAGGACAGCTACAACACAATCATTCCCCCCTCTCTGCACATCACCCCCCAGGCTCTGACTGGGGAATATTCCAAGTTAGCCAAAAGATGCACATGGAAAAAATGTTTTATTTTTAATAAATGTACAAAGGAACATACAAATGCAGTGTTTATTCCTGTAGGCTAATATTTTCAGACTTAGTTACATACTTGTATTCACATATTTTAGTTCCCAAATCTAATACAATTTGCCAAAGAAGTTAAAGCATTCTCAGCAACTCTGTAGCCATAACAAAGAAGTAGGATGCAGATTTAGACAGTTAATTTTGCACCTGCAAATTCATCGGAACAGTGCAACTGTAGAAAACTATGAGTTTAGAAAATGTCTTCATGATTAGGGCCACATGAATAATTGATTGAAAATGATTGATTTGAAAAAAATTATGGCTTCCAATTTTTGTTATTGGTTTAGATCAGACTTATTGTCCTGCTTAACAAAACTATTTCTTTTCACTTCCTCAAAATTTTGATTTGTTCAATTAAAAAAAAAATAAATCTGTAAAAAGAGGAAACAAAGACTGAGATTCAGAAAACTGCTTGAGGATGCAATGATGTTGTTATTCTCCTCTTGTTCAGTAGCTCAGTGCCTAAGAACCCTTCCCTGAATGTCAAGAGGCTGGTTCAAATCCTTCTCAGAACTGTTAAATTTTAAGCAGGAACCTCTTTTAGGTGGGTTTTCTAACTGGGCTATAAGTACTTGGAGCATGAACTCAGTCCCTTCTCATGGGATTGCAGCTGTACTTTGTACTTGGGACTGCTGAAGTATTTCACGTGGAGGATGATTCCATAGGCTCTTGGTTAGAGCACATGCCTGAGGCTTGCCCCAGAGAGTATTTTTTCTGCTGAATATAATAAAAATATCACTGGAAAAAGGACTATGCAAAAAATAAATACCTTCTCCAATGAGAGTTCCTTCCTTGGGCTGCAGAACTTGTGGTATCTCTTCTGGCACAGAATGGAAGGCATTCTGAATAATTTGCATCCCTTTGTAAAAGGAAGACCAAAACTGCATCTTTTCCCCATTCTGATTTTCCCCTCTCTTCCTCTTGTCTCATCAGGTATCTTTAGTGGCACTTTTTATGCTGACTTTGTGAAGGTGAAGTTACACTTTCAGCTACATTACAATTCATTAGCAGAGTTGTAAAGACCTGAGTTCTGATACTGCACTGCTCCTTTTCCAACTTGACTAACAGATCACCCTTCTTGCCAAAATACACCCTGCAGCCAATTGTCACACCAATGCATATCTGGTAGCTATCTTAGTGCAGCCTTGGAAAGATGAGCAATGGGTATAACAATATTTTGGCATGAATATTAGCTGTTTAGACTTTCACATGTACTGTTTTAGGGAATGTGTTAAGTCTCCTACCCACACCTTGAAACAGTTAAGAAATGGCATAAGGCCAGGTAAGAAGTGTAAGTGAAATATCACACGAAGGGAAAGAATTTGGAACATGGTGGTATCACTGTGTAACAAGTCCACTGTACAAAGGTGAAAAATAGTCAGAAGGAATATAAGAGGAAGAACCATCCATTTCAAAGAGTAAACTGAATGTAAAATATCCAGATTCAACTTTACATTTATAGTAAGACAACACACACATAGCTATCCCTCCTCCAGTTCTTGTAGTTGACACTTCAGTCTGGCACAGTCATCTAAAACTGTAGGAAACATGACAAAGCTGGGAACTCCGTGGCTGTGAGGAGCAAGCTGCCATGCAAGGAGGGTGCTGAGCAGTCCCTTCATCTGACAAATCACATGAGACAGGCTGAAGCCTTCAAAGCCTCATACTTGCTCTAACAGGGATTTTTAAAAGTAAAAAAAGCACTGGTTACGTCAGATGTACGTTTTAAGTGGCGGAGAAACAACCAAGAGAATCCCTAGATGAATTTGCACCTTGTTGACAAGCTTCATGTGATGTGCACAGCTACTTCAAATGCAGACAATCATTACTTCTTCAGCAACAAAACTCTTTGATGTGGCCCTGATCTGAGAAAGCCGTTAATCCCATCTTTAAATATGTGCATAACAATCTAAAACAAAGAGGCTTTTCAAATGAATCTGGGTCATCTGTGGAGATACATCTAACAGAAATTATTAAACACAGCCTAGAAAGCAGTGTTTGCAAAAATAGAAAGCCAGGCTGGTCTCCCAGGGGCCTCAGGCTTCAAAATGGCTGAGTTGCTTAGTGCTGGATGAATCTGCTCACAGGCACACATCTTTACACTTAAACCTGCTCAGTAATTCTACACTAGTCTTTTGGGAGGGAACAGAAAGGGAGGAAAGTGGTTTTTTTCTTGAAATGTTAGTTTTACAAAAGGTTTAATCTGTGCAAATGCTAAGGCAGAGAGGAAAGCAAGGCAGGGCTCACTGTGAGTAATGCACCAGCATAGATGGGACAAATCCAAGGCTCCTGGGCTGAATTTGGACAATGTGAGCAGCTCACCTGCTGCCCTGGAGCCAGCCCTATGTTCTTTCTTCTCTAGACATGGTTGAACAGCAGGTAATAGGGCATAAGAATCACTCCAGCTGCTCACGGGCTGCCCCTACACTGTCTGCCATGAGAGCCACTAGGTTTTTCCATGTAGCTCCAGCTGCATTCCAATGCCTGTACATGTAGAATCACTGCAGACAGGCTGGGGAGGGTGCCTCTCAACCTTTACTCACCAGGGCAGAGGGTGGCAATGCTGTAATTTGCCACAGGGTCAGTTACAGCCCTGAAGGAAAGGCAGGGCACAGCCACATCAGGTAAAATAAGGATGGCTGGAGACAGCCTTTCTGCAGGGCTGGATGTTCTGTGCAAGGTCCTCTTCCTTGTGAGGGAACCAAAGCCAGGCATTCTGGGCTCACCCCACAAGCTGTTCGTTTCAGTTAGGTATTTTCTCCTTGAATAAGCAGGACAAAAGTGATGTGATATGCTGAATCATTTAAGGAAAAAATCACCCTGTCAAGTGGATTATCATCAGCTAAGCAAGGCCCTGGAGGCCAAAACCTCAGTCTCTAAATTATACATGCTGAATGCCTATGCTTTTACTGTATTGTTGAGGCAAAGCCTGCACAGTGGTTTCAGGGACATTAAACACGAAAGAAAAGTTGTATCATAGCTGCTACTTGCCCAGTGATTCCACCTTAATCTTGGGACTAGCAGGTATTCTAGACATGCCAAGTCCCTAGCAGGGAGGGAGGGATTTGTAATTGTTGGCAGAGGTGCCAGTGGGGTCAGTCAGTTGCTAAAACATTAAAGCATATAAAAGCAGGGAATTGTGATCCTCCTGGAAGAATACACGCTCTGCACATGAGAGGAAGCAGATGCATTCTCAGGAGGTGGGTGTCACTCTTGCTTGTGTTACTCACTTTTCTGACACTTCCTCTGTTTAGTGTCTACCTTTTTCTCATGATTTCACTTTCAAAGCTACCTGTGCACATTACCAGATGGTTGACTTTCTGTCTACATTTTTTTTCCAGGAGGCGTTCAGAGTCAAAGTTTAAGTGAAAACACCCCTGAATTTGGCTTAACACCTGACATTGTCTGGATTACTTCAGGTTTGAATGTGACACTTGCAAAATTGCACAAATAATTTTCTTATTGGAAATTGTTCCCTGCAATTGCATTTCAATCACAGGGATTATATCCCAAGCCAGCTATTCTCAGTGAATGATATTATTCTAACACAAAACTTCAGATATTAAATTAACAGTTTCTTACCCAGATGCTAGAGGAGTGGGAATATGAGATTCTGGTGTGTATCTCTAGAAAGGAGCTGCAGCTTTCCCTTCTTACTAGGTGCAGAACCTCTTTTAGGATCTTCTGAGCTGACTGCACGGATCTTCCTGGGCCTTTTCTGCTTCTCCCACTGAAATGCTGGTTTTGTGACTGTTTCTGTGGCAATTAATGTCTGCAATGGCAACCCCCATTCACTGTGCAGTAACACAGCCTCTGAGTAGAGCATTTTGTTTCATGCTGTTCAGAGGAAATTCATCTCACCTGAGGAAATATGGAAAATAACCTGTGAAGCACAGGGAGTGGAACAGGGCCTTGATCCTGCATTTCCTTCATTGCAAAGAGATCACATGGTGCTTTGCATAGATGCACTAGGAAGCACAAAGCCCCATCAGCCTTGATCACCACTTTCCTGGACTACAGGTAGCAGCATAGTGGGAAAACCTACACCCAGGCATTTCCACACATCCTATTTTTGTTTGTGAGTATTGGCACAGCTATTTCAAACAGTCTTGCATCTTATACCCAAGACAGTCAAAAAAGGATGATGTTTCCTGCACTCTGCTCCTTAGGACATGCCTGGAAGCACATAGGTTTGTGATACTGAGCCTGTACTCTAATGGAGAGAGGCCAGTGTAGGGCCGAGTGTGCATGCCCAAGATTTTGACATGCAGGAGCTTCACACCTCTAGCAATTGCCATCAGGACTTTTACAGCAGCTCTGCTCTGCTCCAGGACTCTGATAGTAAGCTGCCCCCTTCCTCTGAGCAGTAGTATGATTGAGTCCCCATTTAAAAATGGTATTGATTTTGATAGGAGTTTTGATAGAGTATGGCCATTGAAGGAGTGCCAGATTTGGCTGTTAATCTTCAGGATTGCTTCTTTCTGCTTGGTTGGGCATATGTCTCACGTTTGCTGTCCCCAGTGTGAAGGATTTAGGAACTGTCAATATCTATGTTGACGTATGAAGCACCAAACACAGTAGGAGCAAGATGCATATTTGGGTCACTCCTGCTGAGGTCTGGCATTTTTACTGGGGTAATTTTATAAGTCTCCACCTTCTGTCCCCCTGTTAGGGCCTATTGTCCAGGAACAGAAGCTGGGAAATATTTTGGTTGCCTGTTTCTCTGTTGCTGGTACTGCTGCTCCACACTCAGACAGAAGCTGAGATGCAGGGTGGCTGCAGGTAATGACACATCTCCTGCCTTTGCTCTGGGGGGTGGTCTCTGGCACTCCTGCTGTCCTCGGCCCAGCATTGCTCTTAGAGGTGCTCTGCAGACTGTTTGAGCCCAAAGCAGGTCAGCAGCAGGGTGGGGGTCTAAATTTCAGAGGCATTGAAGACCCATAGATGCCACCACTTTTGGAGTGCTCCCTGCACCTGAAAGGTAACCTGCATGTATTGAGGGTTCTTTGGAAACTGTTTCACTTCTCTTTGTGAATTTACCATGGGTGTCCTATTTTACTAAGAATGAATGGCTTCTGCTAGATATCCGTAAAGACTGCAAGTGTTGTGGCTGAACTAACAGGTACATCAAGCATATATGGGAAATAAGACTTTTAGAGGGAGTGATTCCTTTTTATTTATTTTTTTTAAGTCATGCCTGGCATTTTTGCCACAGCCTTGGCTGACAAAGCATTTTCTATCACATAGCCTCAAGACAGCACTGAAGATGAATGTTTGGAATATGCTAAGCTTTGCAAAAATGTAAAGATAAAATCAGAAGAGTAATTCAACATGTCCCTGAAGCTCTTAACCACAAGTGATGACATTCTAATCTTTGGGGAAATGCAGGACAAGCACCATCAGCCTTTCAAAGTGGCATGTGTCACAGTGAAGAGGGTGCAGAACCAAGGCTGAATTTGGAAAAGGGTTGCTGAGCTCACATGGTGTTCTCCAAAAAGCAGAAAATCCAACAGTGCACCAAATAAAATTCTGCTTTTGGCTGAGTTGTGGATGTCAGCTGGGTGTGGGATGCATTCCTGATTCTTCCTCAGAAGTTTCAGTGTGACCTTGGGGCATATGCATCCTGTTCCCACACCTGTAGAAATGGGCATATGAATAATCTTTTTCACTACTTCCTTTGTGGGCTCTGCCAGAGCCTGGAAGCATGGCCCACAGACAGGAGCAGAGAAACATGCTGCATTTGTATAAATGCTAATTGTGCTGGGCTCAGGTTTAGGTGCTCTACTCTCATTTTTATGCAAACAGACAGGAATACAAGAAGTGCAAATGTGGTTCATCTGGCAAGGTGGGGACGGGCCACAGCGGGGTCACAGCCGTGGAGCAGAGGCTCTGGCTGCTGCAGACTGCCAGAGGCCATGGATTGAGACCCCACACACAGCACAGAGGCAGTAACGCAGCTCTTTCTGAGGCAGTCTGCTTCTCTCCCCTTCAAACCGAGATGCCATGGAGGGGAAATAGATTTGCAATAATTAGCTTCAAAGTCAAGGGGTCTCAGAAGCCAAAGCTGCTGATTTTTGTAACAGCAGAGCAGTTCCTGATGTCCTTGCTGCAAGTGAAGAGAACTTGGATTGGGCAAAGCCTGTGGGAAGGTTGGTCCCAGAGCCTGTGCTGTTTCCAGCTGAGGCATGAGAGCTAAGCAAGGCCAGGAGAGCAGAGGTGGGAGGTTCCTTGCCCATGGGAATGTTGTCCTGTGTAGATGCAGCCCTTCCAGGAACTGCTGGTTCTGCACAGGGTTGGTGGAAAGGGGGTGACAGGTTTTGCTTAATTTCTGACAAACTGAACTTTATTTACACTACAGAGAAAGAGGAGTGTCTCTCACTGACCAAAGCTGAAGAAGGATGAGAAGGCTTGGCACAGGTTGATTCCAAGCAGAGGAGGAGGAGACAGATGCAAATGCACTGCTGCTCGTGGTGTTCTGTTATGCTCTTCCACAGCAAAGCCCTTAGCTGTCATCTAGGCATGCATAAATATATTGGTTTATTTATACATCACCACTGACTACAGTAACTCATTATTTTATCTGCCTTGCTTGAAATGATGATTCTTTTGAAACAAATGCAGAAGTTATACAAACAAACAAACAATCAAGAAAAATCAAACAAAAAAGCAAGCCAGAAAGTCCCCAGCCAAGCAAAAGAATGCTACAACTCTAAAACTGAGACAGATGATCCAAATTGGAAAATGTCCTAAAATTTATATTAAATAAAAAAAAAAAAAAAGTTCTTTTGGATTCTGAGTCTTTACAGTGAAAACATATGACTTAAGAAGTCTCTGGCCCAAATAAATGCAAGTCTTCCTTGCTTGTTTTTTTAACAAAAACTGAAATGTTTATGTGTCAGTTGCCTCCATCTGCTGGGCTCTAAGTATGGTATTAAGTATCATGAGATTCAGTTTTTCCCCTGCAGTTTTATCTTAAGTTGAGCATTTCAGCCAACAGGGGAGAAGTTTGCATTAGCTGTGGGGTTAGGACCATGAAACTAAGTCAGGGAAAGAAAGTAACCTGACAATATCTCAAGTATGGCCATTGGATCAGGAGTACTACACACCACCAATTGCAAAAGAATACTTCCTTTTCAAAGTTATCCCTATGGCTTCATAAGCTTTTGCCTCTGCCAGAAATGCAAGGAGTAATAAAAGAAGACATGGTTCTAAACACTATAATGGATCCAAAGGGAGCACAGATGGGGCAGATGATTACAGGACTGAACTCCCTGCTATGGAAATGGACATATCTGAATAGAAATTTCCCTTCAAGACTTAACAATGAGATTGCAGCTCTTGAAACTGCATAGTGCTCACCAGTACTACTTTTCTGGCACAATTTTTTGTAGTATTGTCAATAAAAACACCAAATTGGTAGTAGCACCTTTCTTTCAGAGACACTCTGAAAGACCCATATATGTCAGAACAACTTTGTGGTTGAGCCCTTCTTCCCAAGGATCTCTTGAGAACAGAGCATCCTATGAGGAAAAGTGCTAAGAAATATGTTAAGGCTTCCAGCCATTAATCTGGAAATTCTTTACAGAAAGAGAGTAACCTGATATAAAATCTTCGAGTAAATGTTTTTTAATTATTCAAAATATCCTGCTTCAAATCCATCTGAGTCAATTCAAAATTTCAATGAAAGAATTCAAAGGACCACAAATTATCTGACTGGTATTATAGATTACCTCAACAATCTTAATGACTAAAAAAAATTCGTTCCTTCTTAAATTGTCAAATAAAATAGAAAAATGTAGATCATCTCCATGGCATGTTTCACTTATAGCAAACATTAAAAACCCAAGAAAGTATCACAGAGAAGTTATTGTTCACATTTTGCAGCATCCAAAATATAAAATGTTGCTTTTTGTTTGCTTCTAAATCTCTAATCATTATATTCTGATGGTTTGTGTGCTTAATCACTGCTCATTAACACCATTTTTCTACACAGCACTGCTAAAAATATTTGTTTGCAGTTGCCCTTGTAGTCTGAACTGTGCCATTTCCCACGCACAGCATCCTATGCAGGGAGGCAGAACATTAATACCCTGTGCAGGTAATTCAGAGAACAGTGACACACTGGCATAATTAAATAATGTCATCAGTCTCTGAAGTGAACTCCCTACGGTGAGGCACCGCATGAGAAACCTCCTAATACAACACCTACAGCTTTCTTACGCAAAACTGACTTTACAGTAATGTATTCCATTAGGAGAGCTGAAGTTTAATGGAGAAATCATTATTTCATTATATTGGCATTTCATGGATAACGTGGTATGACGCTTCTGCCCACTGGATCCTGTCATACTTCCATCCGGCTCAAATAAAGAGCTGTCTCTTGTGTCTTTGCCACAGAGGTGCTAGATCACCGTGGTCCTGCCTCTTCAGTGTAATGACTTTAGATGGTCTCTGACAACAATGCCAGTTTTGTACTGCTGAAGCCCTTCTGAGCTCTCCTCTAAAGCATCTACAGTCTTCATCATCCACTTTGAATTGTGGGTATCCAAAGCATGACGCACTGCTCAAGTAACAGTGTCCTCAAATACTTAATTGTCTTATACTAAATACTAAACCTGTCTCTGATATGTCTGTCCCATAGACAGATAATCCCAAGCATTTCTCCCATCACACCATTCTCACCAAAGCCATCAGGCAACGTGAGATCCCAATCCTGAGGAAAATGGCTGGGAGAGAGGCTCTTCAGCATTGCTGCTGCTCCAACATCAGGTAATGGGCAATATGTACTACATGGGCTGTGACAGCAACAGGGCAAGGCTCCAGCTCTCATATCCATTGCCCATGTTGTATGCTCAGGATGGTTTTTCTCACAGCAGAGCTGGACATGTTTGTGGTGCTGCTGTCTCAAATAATCGGTGGAAAAGCAGAGAAATCTGGGACAAAGGACCATTGCACCAGGGTGCCTTACATAGCTTGGCTTAGCAGCTTCCTCAGGCTGTTATTCCTTGCCACGTTTTTTTGCAATTTTCCAGGTCTCCTGCCCTTCCTATTCCTGCTGTGTTACACACAAGCTTGAGGGTTCTTACTTCTTATCCCCCTTTCAGTCAGGTTTGCTTTCTATTTACCCATTCCTCATGCTGACTCCTTGCCTCTGTGTGGGTTTAGCACAGCCTCTCCTGTCTCCTGTACTGTTTTATTTATCTATTTAATGCTGTTCTCATGATTATGGTATTTGGGCACCAAGCAACTCGAATAAACTGTCTGTTTCATTGGCTCACAGTGTTCCCATTTATGTCGGTTGCCTGGTAACAGCTGTTGTAACTGAAGTTGCAAAATTTTTAGTGAAAAAAGAATCCAGTGCTCCCAAACAGCCTGAACTTGAATAAAGCTGCAAATAACTGAGCTGGAATTTTCCACGCTTTGGGGCTCTCCAAAGCTGATCTCTTGCTGTCAGCTTGAAAAAGTTCAAACAAAACCAAGTTCAGCCTCCTTAAAGTCCTGCGGGGGAGAATGCAGAAAGCCTCAGTCGTGTCTCTGCGCCTTAACTCCTGTCCTTGCTGCACTCAGAGGAATGCAAATCACTACCTGAGCCCTGCAGCTGGCTGGAGGCTGCCGGAGAAGCTCGCTCTTGGCTGGAGGGTGTTCCTCACTCTGGAAATGGCAACACAGGGTCTGCCTCTATTTGTCTCTGCCAGTGGTTTCCACCCTGCAGGATTGAGTTTTGAAGCTAAAAGATGTTTCTAATTACAAGCCTTGCCGAGGCAGGCTGGGAGCTGGGAGGCTGCGTGAATTCAGCTGAGCTGAGGAGACAGCAGAGGGTGTTGGCAGCCAGGCACGGTTCTCATTTTCTACCTGGGATGAAACCTTTGTGCCTGCGTGCTGCGGGTCTGAACGGTGCAGGCAGCACCGCCTCACATCTGGCCCGCCTGTGTCCCAGAGCCCGTCTCATACTTTGTGCCTCCATGGCCTGGGAAAACAAGCTGCGGAGCAGAGTGATAGAAGGTGATTTTGCTGCTGAAGAGGCAGCTTTGGTTCAAAGCCTGGGTGCAGTGGGGCTGAGTAGCAGCGGTGCTTTGCAAAGCCTGTGGCACCCAGAGCTGGGATGCCTTCCCTTGGAGCTACTGCAAAACAGCATCAAAACATCGCCCCAAATTAGTCTTAGGTTTTACAGCACCTTGTAAAACCCTAATCCTTCTGCCGAGCAGGGAGCACCCAGATTTTGCAGGAACAGGCTTTCACGTGACCGCAGAATTCACTTTGGGGCCAAAATTGTAACTGCTGCAGGAAACTGTGGAAATGGATGAAAAACTACCTGCTAACATTATAATGAAAAATCCATGCTATAGAATATATAAAAAAGGAACAAAGGCTTCATGGGCCAGTTACAGTAAAAAATAAAAATGTCCATGCTTTGTTGCATTAATTGAAAATAATCAAAAACACCAATATTTCGTAGTATTATCAATTATTATTCAGTGTCCAAAGATATAGAATGATGAATCCAAAGCCAAACAAAATTAGTATGACCAGATCATAATCTATTTTTAAAAATACGAATGAGTTGTTGAAACAGCAAGGAAAGAAATCAGCATGTGTTTGTTTGTTTGTTTACTTTTTTCCTTATGGAATTAGTGGGTGTATTTCATTCCCAAAGCCTAGCAGAGGGCAAAAAGAGCATTTTGCCATCCATTTAATATGAGTTCTGGAGGGGTGAGAAGCTGTTCTTAATGCCAACATGAAAATTTCCCCTCTGCGTTTGTCAATATGTGCTCAGAGGATAGTGTGTGTAGGGTTTAACTGCAGAGCTTTTCAGGATAATGCTCTCATCACAGGAGAAATCACTGGGATTTTCAAGCCTCAAGTAAACCCAAATTTCAAGCCTCAGATAAACCAAACCCCACTTTGGGGAAGTTGCAGATATGCATTTGTGCTTCCCAAAGCTTTCAGGTTCCTTCAAATCAGGCATCTCCCATGTGAGATTAAAGAAGAGAGAACATAGAGCATGATATTAATGGATAACACTAAACAATATTTGCTTAAATTGCCATGTCCTTAATTACTGCTTAAATATAATGACTCTAAATGACATATAAGATTTTATTTTTGATTGTTATTGATCTCTGCAATGCGTCTAAACATGTTGGGGTAAAAGAATTATAGCTGAAAAATATTATTTATCATTAAACAGTGTGTCTTACTTTAAATATTAATGTTATGGCCTCCAGCATTAGCTTCACAGTGAATAGTAGCACAGGAGTTGTTTTTGTATTTTGTAGACAGATCCAGCACTTGATAAATACTTGACATTGTCTATAGAGGTACAATCTTAGTTTATTTTCTGAAAGAACCCTTTGGCTTTGCATGTAGCTAACAAGAACATTACATGCACTTTACCCCCAAATTCCAGATTCCTCTTTTTCATCCTGTTAAATGACAGAAAAGGTAAAATCTTGTTTGCCCTCTCAAGCCTTGCAGAAGCTGACTTGGGGCAGCTTTGTCCCCAGCAGACACAGGGTGAGTCAGCAGTGTGGGAACCTCTGCAAAGAAGTTTCAGAAGAGTCCATGAAAACATGGTTTCCATTTGAAGCCAGTGAATTCAACAGGAAATTATTTTCTTCCCTGGCACAAGAAAGATCAGTTTGTTACTGGGAGATGGGAGAAAGCTGTCAGTAGAAGTATTTATGTCTTGCATCTATTTATTTCTTTATCTTTTGTCCATCCCCAT